CAGGTGGAGAGTCTCTGCACGTAAAAGAACGTTCTGCTTTGGCAAAAGGCAACATAACAAAACTATTATAGCAATTATAATGTTTTAACCTGAGGTGAAACAACATACTGAAAAACCAGTATACCAGGAAATAATACCAGGAAATGACAGCTAAAAAATCTTAAGAGGAAAGACAGTTTAGAAAAAAAGAGATTTTAAAGTAATTCTGCTGCACGTTTCTCATAAAATAGAATAAGTCCAATATTGAAAATCTTAGCTATCTTAAATACACTGGTTACCATTCATATGTACACACTTGATGTTATATCCTTGTCTCCGAGGCGAGCTTCTGAATAGGCCTTCATAGGCCTTGGCCATATCGATCCATATGTTGGCTCCCAACAATCTACTGTTATTTTCTGCTCATGCAGTGAAATAGCTCTTCCTTTATTCACATAATGGGGATAGGTTGCTTCAACTCCTTAGATTTAGTATTTGAAGCATGATAAACCATTATGTCAAATTCATTCTTACTGGTTCCCCCCTGCCCCTGGGGGCACTGGGTCTAACACCTTACTGTGTTTATTTGGCTTTGGAATTAGTCTTGTACCCCAGGAGACCCTTTCCTGGCTTCTCTTTCATTGGCCACTATCACCAAAAGTAAGTTGGCAATCAGTTCTCTGTTATTTTCACTAATGGAATGGTGAGGAGGAAAAGCTATAATTAAAAGTCCTAAAATATTCATATTTGATTTTCACATAAGAGTATATCATCCTCTACTAATAAAGTGTAACATAGGCATGGTGGTTCACACTGTATGTAACCCTAGCACTTTGGGAGGCCAAAGTGGGAGGATTGCTTGAGCCCAGGAGTTTGAGGCCAGCCTAGGCAACATAGTAAGATCTCATTTGTACAAAAAATAAAGATATTAGCTGGGCGTGGTGGTGTGTACCTGAAGTCCCAGCTACTTGGGAGGCTGAGGCAAGAGGATTGCCTGAGCCCAGGAGCCTGGTTACAGAGTAAAACCGCAACTCAAAAAAAAAAAAAAAAAAAAGAGAAAGAAAGAAAGTATAATGTCATGTGCACTACAAAGGAGAAATGGTTCAAGGACTTATGTTTGTTATTCCAGAATAGGTACTGAAGAGTAAATCTGGGGCTGAGAAACAATACTGTAAATTGATCATTGGCCTATTTAGGTACTTATCCTTTCTCTTTTTCAGTCTCTTCCCTTTGGATCCCTCCTTACTCTCTGGGTAATAATAGGGAGGTTTATTTTTAAAGCAAAGAATTAGTTGTTAGTAATCAAGGCAGTTTGAAAATGAGAGAGCAAACAGTCAGAGTAGGGTTTGGCTGTACTCTGTTTAAATGTTAACTGAAGAATCTTAAACTGAAGGTGAGGATTTTGAAGTTCAGGACATACATCTGTTGAATAACTCTCCTCTTTCACTTCTAAAATAACCTTAAGAATAATAAATCATGCCTTTAAAAAAATTGTACTTGAAAAGTTTGATACAACCAGGCTAACAAAGTTAGTGGAGATGATGTAAAAAAGGCCTTTGCAGTCAAGAAGTCTGTGATGTTATTTCTCACAATCCCAACCTACCCCAAAATGTAAGTGGATACCTAGGAAGCACCCTGAGAGAGATGTATGCAGTGATAGAACAGTCACACGGTGCCATTTCCATTTTTCAAATATATGAGACATTGAATAAATGTGTTTTTGTGATAGATTCTTTCATTTTGTATTCAGGTGAGCGACCTGTGAGAGTGTACGCGGATGGAATATTTGACCTGTTTCACTCTGGTCATGCCCGGGCTCTGATGCAAGCAAAGAACCTTTTCCCTAATACATATCTCATTGTGGGAGGTAAGAAAACATCTGATGGCTTTTGGTGCTATACATAAAAAGGTTATAGTAGTCTTTTTCCTCTCATATCTTTATAGCTGGAGTACTCTGGCCCTCATTTCAGTTTTCAATGAAGGATATAGGACAGCCTCTCTAAAACATGAAGTATATGAGGTGCTAGCAACTTCAACCTGGAGAAGGGAGCTCCAGGCTCACGGATCTCCAATGTCTGATATGTATCTCACTGTTTTTAGCTGAGTTTCTACAGTCACAGGAGCAATGGTGCCCCTTTTACCCACTTAATAACAACATTTATTCTGGATTTCAGTTTATCATTTTTAGTCAAGTACAGAAATCTGCCAAGCAAATGTTAACTGGTTCTTAATAAAATAGGAAGCCATTTTTTTAGATTAGAGAATATAGTTTATTTAAAGGTGTGTGTGTGTGTGTGTGTGTGTGTGTGTGTGTGTGTGTGTGTGAGAGAGAGAAAGAGAGAGAAGATTTACCTCCCTAAGGTGGGGGAGGGTGCCAAAGCCAGGAAGCCATGGCGACAGCCATAGCTCAAAGAGCCTATGGCCACACCAGAGTCTAGCATGGCAATGGCCCAGAAAACCATTTTTTAAAAGTTAACTCATGCAAAAAATGCACAACAGGGTCGTGTTAAAGTCAAAGATCTTAGTTCTTGTTGTACCCTCTCTTCTCCAAAGTATGAACATGCTGTCAGTGAGGGTTACTCCTGCAAGTATACCTTGGATAGGAAAAGCATTGTTACCCATATTGAGCTACGTCTAGAAGATTCTTCTCCAGGTCACGAGGATAGTTGCAGTCCTAGGAAGTAGGAGAAAATAGGAGAGGTTGGTGACTGAAGAGCGATTAAGCAAAGGGGATCCTGACTTAGAACTTCTGTGGCAACTCAGTCTGCAGTGATGAGCTGACGCACAACTTCAAAGGCTTCACGGTGATGAACGAGAATGAGCGCTACGACGCAGTGCAGCACTGCCGCTACGTGGATGAGGTGGTGAGGAATGCCCCCTGGACCCTGACACCTGAGTTCCTGGCAGAGCACCGGGTGAGAGACTGGGCGCATGTCCCCGTTTCTTGTTCTGGGAATCAGTCCCCTCAACCCTCAAGGCTTCTGGCACTTGGGCTCATTCCACTGGCCCTGTTTTACTTCTGTCTTCTATGTGTGTTTCATACAAAGGACATGAAAATGATATTGCTAATAGCAGGAGTCATCCCTGACATTCATTTATGTGGGGTTTGATGATTTACAAGCACTTTGACCATTGTATTCCATTTTCTCCCCCACAATAATCCTGTGGGGGAGTTATTCTTTCTACTTTGTTTATGGGGAACAAGGCCTGGAGAGACCAAATAGTGTGTTCCAGCTTACACCATTAGCAGGGCTAGGAATGGAAGGCTTCAGCTATGTGACTTTTTCTCCCCACACTATAGGCATGTCCACCCTTATAGCATGCCAGTCTCTCTAGAATATCCATAGTCCCAGTCATGTTCTCCAAGAAATAAGACAGATTAACACAGACTTCTCTTGTGTTGACTTAAATTCAGTTTCAGGGCTTTGATTTTGGACTAGAAATTGTGTGGGATCAGAAATTAAGGATGTTTCTCATTTTTACTCCTTGAGTTAATAGAAAACCCTTCACCTTCTTTTAATTTCCCACATTAGAGCCACAAGTTTCTTATGAAAGATAAGAGGGACTTATTAGACCAGGTTGGAGGCCTTAAGGCTTGAGGAACCAGCAGACATATCATCAGTTCTCTACAGAGGTGTGTGAAACATTGCAGGGGAATCGTTCAGTGAGATTAGAAAGAATAAAGGTAGCCAGAGTGTTTCTAAAGCAATCCCTGGGTAGTCGTGGAGCTAGGGGATATTTGTTATAGCTATATGATTAAGATAGACCTTTTATAATCTCTAGCTTTTCTACAGGTATCAATGGTGATGAGCAAGATTATTTTCAGCAACCCAGCCAGGCAGGTCCAAGCAGAAGTATAAGATCAGAAGAGCGTCCAACTTTCCTGTTTTCTTTCTTAGCAGCATTTTCTCAGCCATGAGTATTGCTTATCCCCCATTCTTTACTTTGCTGCCTAGCGATCCCTGACAGGTTGTTCATGGGCAATTGAGATGTTAGTGGAGTCTCTGACAATCCCGATGAGCATGCTTCACACTGCAGTGGTCTCTGGGAGTTGGGTATAGTATTGTTCATACTCATATTAGCAAAAGGCCTATGGCCTGTTCAGGAAGGAAAAGTAAGTAGATTTAGCATGTCTCTTGAAAAAATTATAGATTCCAGTGCCATTAATCTCTTCTTGCTCTTGCGAAGGATATTAACAGTAATAAAATGTTAGATCTTGAGACCTCAAGTTCTTTTGTGGCTTTGGGTTTTGCGTGTCTCAGGAGTACAGAAGTACCTATTTCTATAAAAGGGCTCTTGGTTGCTATTTTTATATTCTCCCTTTTCTCGTGGGCTGAGAGAGAACCCAGTTAATAAAGAAGTGACCTCTTTTTCACATTTTTAGAAACGCTTGTTTGACCAATCCTGTAGATATAGGAGGATAGGAAGATTTCCTTCTTTCCCAGGCTTCACCTACTAACTAGCTCACCAGCCAATCCTCTAGCTCTGTTAACCATAGCAAGGTGACTGGCATTCAGAGTGAGCATAGCACTTCCAGTTGACTAGAAAAAATAGCTAGAAAAGCAACTAACTAACTTAATATGTATAATACATAAATAATTAGTTTGGGTGGTTTTTTAATGGGTTGTGGAATTTATGAGCAAAACAGAGAAACATGAAAAAGCACCCTTGAGGCTTTGGCCTCTGTTCACTGTCCTTTTTCTGGGCCTGAGTATATTTGCTGGGTCTTTCTGAATGGCAGTTATCCTGAGTTTTAAATGATATTTCCTTATTTTCAGATTGATTTTGTAGCCCATGATGATATCCCTTACTCTTCTGCTGGGAGTGATGATGTTTATAGGCACATCAAGGAAGCAGGTGAGTAAGTTGATGTATACCCTCACTTTATGGGATCTCAGGGGCAGCTCCAGAGATTCAACCATATTGCTACTTTACAGAGGAAAATTTGTACACATTCAAAAACCACTTTAAGGGTCACACTGTGGATAAAAGATAATGGTGAGTATAGTAATGGCATCTATCAGTTCTTGGTCTAAATGTCTATTTTTTTTTAAGTTGGAGTCTCACTCTGTTCCCTAGGCTGGAGTGTAGTGGCATGCTCACGGCCACCCCGGCGTCGACCTGTTGGGCTCAGGTGCTCCTTCCACCTCGGCCTTCCAAGTAGCTGGAACTATAGACATGTGCCACCAAACCCGGCTAATTTTTTTACTTATTGTAGAAATGAGGTCTCAGCAAGTTGCCCAGGCTGGTCTCAAACCTGTGGGCTCAGGCAGTTCCCTCACCTCAGCTGGGATTACAGGCTTGAGCCACTGCGCCCGGCCTTAAACATCTATTTTGATCTCTGTCTTAATTTCAGAAAACTCTTCCCCAGTCCCAAATTTTTCTTAATATTAGGGCCATGTAGTTCCTCTTCTCCTTACCACTAACCTTTGATTCAGTCTTTCTTCTGTATGCCAATATCTCTAAACTTTACTTAGTAATAACAGATTCTACTTTTTGAAGAAAGGAAAGGAAGGTTGTTCCTGGTTTCCATCTAGTCTTACTACCTGAGCTAACCAGAACTTCACAGTGTTTGTCTGTATGTGTTCTTGAGTTAGGCATGTTTGCTCCAACACAGAGGACAGAAGGTATCTCCACATCAGATATCATCACTCGAATTGTCCGGGACTATGATGTGTATGCGAGACGGAACCTACAGAGGGGCTACACAGCAAAGGAGCTCAATGTCAGCTTTATCAATGTGAGTTCCAACCTCATCCCAGAGTCCCTGGTTCTATGGAACATACACGTTGCCTCCCACTCTGTCTGAGCTGAACTTTCGTTTCAGTCAGTTTTATCACTCCCAGAAACTCAATGCATGCCTCTTTGCAGATAACACTATGTTAAGTTCCTTACAAAGAATAAAACGGAGGTCTACTATCAGCACATTAATAGAGAACACTCAGCCAATTAAATAAATAAGAATGTATAACATAGTACAGCATTTCTATCAACACATTTGAAACAGTGGTTCTAAAACTACTGAATATACTAAAAACCGCTGAATTGTACATTTTAAATGGGTGAGTTGTATGGTATGTGAACTATATCTCAATAAAGTTATTATTAAAAAAAAAGCAGTGGCTTTTAATCTTTTTTTTGGGTGGGTTGATCTTTGGAAAATCTGATGAAAGCTGTGGATCCTCTCCCCTTGTGGCTAGTGACACACATTTTCCATGCAATTTCCCCAACATTTAAAAGTTTTAAATTTTGATTTATGAAAGCCTAATTCTATCTTAGTGTAATATTGCCCTTCAGAAATACTATACATTTTGTATATATATATTATTCCTCAATAAAATTGATTTTAAAAGAAGAAAACTAACTAGATCTTCTATGTAATTTATCATGCTCCTCACCTGTTCTTGTCTCTATGAATTATGTAGGTGAAATGGTTTTATTTTAATATGATTTATCTATACAGATAAACCCTAGCTCTTGTTTATTTGCCTACTATAGAATCTTTATCTGTTTTCCCATAAGAACCAGGTGTTTTAAAACCCTAAATATATTCCCTTTTTCATTATGATCTGTAAATTATGAGAATACTTTTCATTTGGCTAAACATTCTCCCACCTCCCATCAGAGGGTTCCTACCATTTTCCCTTATCTTTAGGAAAGTTGCTAGGACCAGAGTATCTTCTTTGTTTTGCGAACGAGTAAATGAACCTCTAAATACTAAAAAAACAAAACACAACAAGTCATCTAAAATCATAGAACAAGCCAGTGTGATAGAGGGGGGGAAAATCCAGTACAATAAACAAACTATAAGTTTGTAATTAAGTAAAAGATCGAGTACTTCTACTATCAAGCTCGTATAACTGGTTTATTCTTGGCAATATTGTGCAGTGATATTTTTACTACCTCTACATCTCCACCTAGAATGAGGACTGGTCATTTTGGGCATGTTTATGTTCCAAGTTTATGTTTTATCTTTAAAAATCAGACTTTATTTGGCTATATAACTGTCTGTTGCTAGGCATAGCTATATATGTAGTTTACTTTCAAACTCCCACAATATTAGAATTATTTCACTTTTATGTAAGATGACCATACAGAGAATATCTTATCTGTTATTACCCTAATAAAGTATGGTGTAGATTAAAGCAAAGCAAATTCTTAAGACTGTCTGGATAGTGTCAGTAGAATACTTAAGCCATGTTTTTTCTTTTGCCATTGATAGTGAAGATCAAGATGAGTATTATTTCTCAAAACAGTTATTTCTTTATCCAGGAGAAGAAATACCACTTGCAGGAGCGGGTTGACAAAGTAAAAAAGAAAGTAAAAGACGTGGAGGAAAAGTCAAAAGAATTCGTTCAGAAGGTGGAAGAAAAAAGCATTGACCTCATTCAGAAATGGGAGGAGAAGTCTCGAGAATTCATTGGAAGTTTCTTGGAAATGTTTGGTCCAGAAGGAGCACTGGTATGTTCTTTCCCACTGGACAATTTAGAGACTTTTAGGGAAATTCAGGGAATTTCAATGTTATGGAAATAGTTGTAGAATCCTTGGGTAGAAAGGGTCATTGACATTAAGAAGTTATCTAATCTGCCCTTATCTGGTCAGAAGTGTGTTTCAACTGTCTCAAAAAGTTCTTTGAAATTGTATAGAAAGAGATTACACATTCTCCTAAATAGTTTTGCCAGCTCTTAGCCAGGCACTAGTGGCTCACACCTGTAATTCCAGCACTTTGGGAGGCCAAGGCGAGAAGATTCCTTGAACTGAGTCCAGGGCTTTGAGACCAGCCTGGGCAACATGGCGAGACCTCATCGCTATAATAAATCAAAAACTTAGCCAGGCGTGGTGGTGCACACCTGTAGTTCCAGCTACTTGGAAGGCTGAGGCAGAAGGATCGCCTGGGCCCAGCAGGTCAAGGCTGTGGTAGCAGTGAACATGCCACTGCCCTCCAGGCTGGGTGAGAGTAAGACTTCGACTCCAGAAAAAAGATTTGCCAGCTCTTTATCAATTTTGAAATCTGGTGACAAGATAAGCAAGTAATCTTGCCCAGCTTAATTCTACATTAGGTTTTAAATGAAGGAAAGGAAAGAATAAAGGACATGAAAGAGAAAGCTGTATCCACTAAAAATAGCTGCTACAGGATTGCTGGGTACAGTAGGAATTCTGTCCTTGAGGAGTAGCAAAGTCTTTGCAAACCAAATAAAAGATTCAGCGTGTGAGCCTTAGGTTAGATATCAGGAAGGATCTGACTATGAGGGTGTGGATACTAGAATACAGTTTTCAGGAGGAATGTAGAATTTCCTTTTCAAAGAACTCTAAAACTAGACTAGGTACCCTTTTGTCTGAGTTAACTCCTTTGTTTTTGCCTGGACTATAGAGTAATTCGTTCTCTAAGAATTCCTTTGACATAGAAGTCAATAATTCGATGACTGGATAGCAGGTGATAACCCTTAAATAAAGAGTGTAGTAGAGTCCACTTTAGGGAAGACGTTGCTTGTGATTATAGCTGTATTGGATCACTTTTAACATTGCAGAAGGCATCCCTGATAATTTGAAGTCTCAGATGCTCCAGTGGTGATTTAGTAGGATCCGTGGGTTTTTTCCTAACTCTTCCTTTTGGTCTCCCCAGAAACATATGCTGAAAGAGGGGAAAGGTCGGATGCTGCAGGCCATCAGTCCAAAGCAGAGTCCCAGCAACAGCCCTACTCGGGAACGCTCCCCCTCCCCCTCTTTCCGATGGCCCTTCTCTGGCAAGACTTCCCCACCTGCCTCCCCAGCAAATCTCTCCAGGCACAAGACTGCAGCCTATGATATCAGTGAGGACGAAGAAGACTAATTTTTTCTCCCTCCTTTCCTCTCCCCTCCCTCTGTCCCATCGCCTTCAGAAGCTCTCTGTTGAATTCCAAATTGTGATTCCCAACACTAAACCTAAGGACAGCTACAAAAGAAAGACAACTGGGGCAAGAGGACCTAGGAATGGGAGAAACAAAACAGCCCATCCTCCACAAGACATCCTTCACCCACACCAAGAAGGAGGCTGCCTACACCTTAGAAGCCTGTTCTGCATCCATCGACCCTCCCCAACGATTTTGTTTTACTGTTGATGTTCATGTGATCTTGACAGGGAAATCTTCATTTTTATTAATTTTGTAAAAATTAGTCTTTCAAATATAGGAAGTAGAACTAATTTTTTGCCCCTGAGGAGTGGGCAGAAGAAGGAAGTAGTGTAACATGCAGAGGCCTTTTCTTCCTGATACACCATAGTGTTTGCCTTCTGTTCCAAGGCAACATGGCTTGCCAAGTCCTTCACACAATGAGCCATGCTGATGGGTAATTTGGGTTGAAATATCATAATTTTGATTTCCTTAACAAAAAGCTACAAGCTGAATTACAGTCACATCTCCCCTAAATGTACTGCTGGCACGAGTGTCAGTGTGACTGTGGGAAGAAGGAGATCTGAGCCTAACTTTTCTTACTCCCTGAGGAGTTTCTTGTTGGACCCAATGGGGTCCATGAAGACACTGATGGGGATGGAACCAGACCACATGGCATCAACTGCAGTTTCTGCTGTGTTCATCTTCTCAGAAAATCCTGTTGCCCAATTATTTGGGAGCTCTTGTCAATCTCTTTCCTACAATCTACCTTTAAGGGAAGGAACACTTTTAGCGTTACTGTGATGAGGAGGGGAGTGGGACCATACTCAATCCTATACAAAGTCCTGTTTAGCTTCATTTCCTGCTGGGAATAAGTCCTTAGCCCTCTAGTTCAATTTCAATGCCACCACCTAGCTTTTTACAAAGGAATACTTTGAAACAGCTGAAGTCAGTGTTTCCTTTGTAAGTAACTGCAGTTTGAATGTGATGTTAATCTGTGTTCCTCATAGCCATATGGAATATAGAGAGAGATTTGCACAGAAAACAGAAGCAAAAGCATAAAGAAACACCTTCTCTTCTAAAACAAAAGCCTTATCCTGACCTCTGTCCCTCTTAAGAACATTCTTAACTGGAACCAGTGCTCCATGGAGTACTTCTTTTCCTCTGAGAGCTGCAACTGGCAGGAACTTCCCTCCACTGCTCCTCCAGCAAGCCTCAAAGCATAGACTCACGTGGTGAGAGTCTGGTGGGGTCTCTTCCTCTTTCGCATGGTTGCATGGTGGTTATGGGCTCACCTCCCCTGTTAGGTTGCCTGGGGAACTCAGCACTTGAATTTCAAGTCAAAGAATGCTGATGTTTAGCACTTGCTGCTGAGGATCATCTAATGTTTAACTCTCCAGTGTCCTATCTCCTCAGCTACATGACTTAGCAGATCATTACACATCACTAATCCTGTGGTGGGGTTCAGGAGAAAATTGCTTATGTCCAGGCCCCACCCCGTGTCACTCATAAATACCCCTTGTGGGGGTGGAGTTTTAGTGTTTTCAGCTAAGAAAATCACATTTTCTCTTTCCTTGCCTCTCTGCTGGGACTGTGAGTATCTCACAGTCCATTCCCTAAACACTTTCTGATAAAACCTGCTCTCCTGCCTGAGGGTCAGAGACTGGAATCACTGCCTGCCTGCACTGCAGGACTACCTAGGTCCTTAAAACTCCAGATCACTTAGGCAGAGCATGACAGAAGAGGGACACGCGGGGAAATCTCTTGCTGTCCTGATGGCCCCTGCAAACTGCAAATTGCATTTCTAACTCTTCTCATGAAGTGCTATTTTTACTATCAGGTCTGGTTCACACATACTTTGGCTTGGAATACTTCCTCTGAAACAGCTGAAGTCATTGTTTTTCCATATTACCCAGCTGTATATGGTTTTATATTTTAACCTTATACTTGGGAATTCTCCCTGGTGTGGAAAGGCAATGAAGTCACTGCTGAAGCCTACCCACTTGTTCCCGCAAGGTCCACGTTACCCACGTGTATTTGGAAGGACAGGGAGATGCCCAGAATGTGGTTTTCCTCCATGCAGTCACTCCTCTTAAATATTTTGTCAGGGTACCAGATGTTTGAGCCTCCCTACTCTGCCCTCGGTGGGCTGCTCTTGGCATGCCCTGTGCCAGAAACAGAACCTCTAGGCTGACAGGTCTGCGCAACTGTGAGGACCAATGTTTGCACGTGTTCTTGGAAGACACCCTCACCCATTTTGGTGAGTTTCTACTGCCTCAGTCTCCCAACACTAGTATACTTTCAAACAATTTTGACTGAAAGCAAAAGGTTTTATGGTGTGGCATGTTAGATACTTTGGGTAAATGTGATCTCAGGTGCTGGACAAGGGTGGGTGGGTGGAGGAAGCTGTTGGAACAATGCATTACTTGATCGTTTCTACCTAAGTAAATGAGGTTGGAGGTTTGTACACCATGACCTGCCTGTGATCAGTAAACCTTCAAATATTAATGTTTGAGACTGGGAGCTGTTTCCCTGAATTCCATACAAGAAAGCAGTCAACGAATGGGTCAAATGTGGCAGAGGCGGGAGAACCGTAAAAGTCGATTATCCTCAGAGCCTCTGTCTGCAACACAGAAGGAGGCTGAGGACAGAAAGAAACCCTGTTGCAGGAGCCAAGGAGGTGCCAGTTCAGAAGTTAACTTAAGGCAGGTTGGGCAGAAAGTTTGCTCTTTTCATTCATTAGACTCAGGAGCACTGAAGACTAGAGGCGGAAACATTAGAGGAATAGAAGTAGATCGTTTGTGCTGCTACAGCTAGTCAGAGCATTATTTTGTGGAGGCTTAGGTAAGAAGGTTAGGGATGAGAGGAAATTGGAAATCCTGACGAAGAGAAAAAAATGTGTGGGAGGAAACGTTGGACCCTTTCTGCTCACTCATAACTTGTTGGGCTGTCCCTGAATTACACTTGTTTGACTTGAGGCCACACAGCTGGTCAGGCTGTCTCTAGATCCTCCCTCCACAATGGTTCTTCTTAGAGCTTTGTTACTCCCTTTTTGGGTTACCTTGACTTGTGGGTAGCTTATTTTCTGGAGCTCGTTGCCTTTTTAATCCTGTTTCAGATTCCTTATCCATAATCTTTCCAAAAGAATATTTTGCTGCTTTTCTTTAATTCCCTAAAAGCCATAGCTTCTAGATTTTCTGTCAGCATACAATCTCACCCGAAGTTGAGCCAATACAAGTAGGAAAAAAAAGCTTCTTTAACAATGTTTTTAACTAATGGTATTTTTTTTAAGCTTACCAATATAAGTATTTTTAAAGGTTATATTTTTCAAAATCATAACAAGGATTGTTCTTGTTTTCTCTCATTGAATAGACTGCCATAAGATAAAGAGTGGTCCCTAGCTTATATTTTTCCAAATAAATAAGTAGAACGTGTTCTTGGGATTATAGTATTAAATGTTAATTTCTTAAAAATAAGAAAGATTTTCTGACTGCCAAAGTTTTATGTCAGTACTCGGATTGAGGTCAAAAACAGTGTACCAAGTTTAACATGAGGATGACTCAGGTTGTGTCCATCAGGTGTGAAGTGGGCTTTCTCACCCTTCTTTGGGAGGCACTGAACACAGAGACTAGATTAGTTGGGGGCTGTTTTGTATTGAGGAACCTGAAAAGAAAAAAGTCTTGGAAAGAACTACTGGCCTTGTCATGAATGTTCTCCCCGTCAACGGTGTGAGTCCACAAGGAAGATTTCCTCGTTGGGGTCATTCAGTCTTTCATTTTTCTGTCTGAGAGTTGTTCATCCATTCAGAGTTTTTTTGGCTTTTGTCATTTAGCCAAATAAAGGCAATGTGATTTTACCTAATGTTCTATCTTCTGTGTTTTTGATCTGGTATACATGTGTATAGTGCAGTTTATGTATTTGGGACTTTCACCTTTTTATGTTACAGGTAAAATACAGGTAAATGAGAATACTTCTGCATCTTAATTTCTCTCCTCAAAAATCAAGCTGCATGACCATGGTATCAGGGAAGTTCTTTTGTAGCTTGTTACAGAAGATACCAAAAACCATTGTCCCACAAAGGGAGATTGATTCAAATCCCCCAAGCCTAGTGTCATTAGTGTCCTAGAGATACATCTATAGGGAAAAAACACTTCCTATCTGTTCTCCAGAAGCCTGGCTTCTTCCATATTTTGGGCTGGTGCTATTTTGCCTCGCTATGTTCTGGCTCTGTTCTTTTACCACACACGCTACTGTATACTTTTCCCCCTTTCACCTACTTTGGGAATGCTCAGAGTTCAGTGTGCACGCTTTAAGGCTAACAGTGGCACCTACGGAGGCGGTGTGCCCAGTTACAGAGTTTCAGACTTCATCTTGTTTATTTATTACAAAATTTGAAACACCTTCCTCAGGCAAGGTCCAAAACAATTTCATCCTACTGCAGAGTTCACCTTCTTTATTGTCAAATGTAATCTGCCAGTCTGTGTTGACAGTGGAAAAACTCCATTTGTTCAGGTTGAAGGACGTGAAGAAACCTTGTATTCTCCTGAGTATAGTATCTCTTTCATTGTCCAAGCCATTCCACATTAAGCTTTGAGGTTCATGTCCAAGTCTGGAGAAGAAGAAATTTCATATCCAACCTTGTGGTCTTTCCTTCGGTAGTACATTCGTGTTAGCACAGTCATCAGAAAAGTCTCCAGTATGAGGAGGTGGCAGTTCATCACTGCAATGTGGGGTGAAATACAGTGTAGGTTATGATAAGTTATAGAGGGGGTATCCCACTAGCAGCCCTAGCATATGAATTGAGCAACCCTTTCTCCAATTTATCCTCAAACTAGAGATACTTAAGTGTCATAAATAACACAGCAGGTTCATGGTAAAGCCAGAACCAGAATTGGCTCTCTACCTTCTGTGATCTGAAGCAGCATTAGAGCTCGTTTCATATGCGTGTTAAGTCAGCGTGGGCTCCTGTTTCCTAATCACACCTATATCTTTCCTAGGAGCTAAGGATTGAACCCATGGCTTCTTGGGTTGGCCATCAGGACTGGCTTCAAACTATGGGACTGCGGTTCTCCTCTGTGTGATCAGAGAGGTTATAGTCTTCTTAAAGCCTCTGCTTAGGTTTCTTGGAGATCCCTTTTTGAATATTCTGAGTAGAAGTCAGGCTGGCCTAACCTCTGTTCCGAGGCCCTCTCTTTCCTGACTGTCTCCCGTCTCTTCCATCCCGCAGTGGGATAGGAGCCCTTACACGCTCACCTTGAGATCTGGCTTTAGAGGAAAAGGGAGGCGAACAAGCGATCTGGCCACCATTGGCCAAGACTGAGAAAATGGAGGGCTGCAAGGCTGTCAGGATGAGGAGCACCTGCAGAACAGGAAAGGGAACAAGGGTGGGTTGGGGCCTGCCGTCCATGGTGCCAGGGGAAGCTGGCCCGCTACTGAGCCCTGTCCTGCCACTGCGCAGGTTTCACCCATCATTAGATCTGTGGAGTTAAAATGGGTCGAGACTCTCACTTGATTAAAAATTTGTGGAATTGTCATCGTTAGGCAAGATACAGTCTCATCTTCTACTTGGTATTTTATTAGAGTTACCAACAAGACACAACAAAAACCGAGAAGTTCATTTTTATTTCCCCATCTCAGTCATGGCTACTAATGATCACTTAATGGATAAAAAAGGTAGATGATCAGAGAAGAGGAATTCCATCTAGCGCATCCTGCTCCTAGGATGATGGACAATTAACCATTAGAGTACACTTTGAAAACACTGCTGGCTCGGGGCTCAGCCTGTAATCCCAGCACTTTGGGAGGTCGAGGCAAGTGGATTGCCTGAGCCCGTGGGTTCGAGACCAGCCCAGGCAACTTAGTGAGACCTTATCTCAACAATAAATCAATAAATCAGAAATCAGCTAGGTGCGGTAGCGTGCACCTAGAGTTCTGGCTACTTGGAAGGCTGAGGTGGAAGGATTGCCAAAGCCCAGCAGGTCGATGCTGGGTGGCTGTGAGTGTGGCACTGCACTCCAGCCTGTGCAATGAAATGAGACTCCAACTCAAAAAGAAAAGAAAACAAAAGAAAATACTCTGCTATCCCGGGGGGCTAGGGGGATGGACAATGGGGGATTAGTGTTTCATGGGTACCAATTTTCAGCTGGGGAAATTGCAAAAGTTCTAGAGATGAATGGTGGTGATGGCTACACAACAATGTGAATGTACTTAATGTCATAGAGCTGTACACTTAAAAATCATTAAGAAAGTAAATTTTAACTTCACCACAATACAGAAGGTGAAAGAGGGGGAGAAGAAGATCTCTGCTCAGAGGACCCAGAGGCACCATTTATCTTAGGATTGCCCTCTGAGTACACTTGAGGCAGACTTGGCTCTGCCAGGCTTCTCCACAATAGTCATGGGCAGGCTCGGCACCCATGGAGACTTTATCCCTTGGCCTGGACCCTAAGTGCTTCTGGGACCCAGATCCTTTCTGTTTCCTTCAGTCTCTGACTCCATTTCATGAACTTTTCTCTCTCTCCCCATAGCCCCTTCAATTCTACCTACTGTGTGCTTGGAAATTCACATTTTGGAGGCATCTGCTTAGATCAGATGAGAATGTGCATGAAATCACTCTTTAACTATCAAGCAGTCATTATGTTTGGGAGTCGAAGGGCCAGGCAAGGAGACAGAGAGAATGGAGAGAGAAGAAAAACAAGATTGGGCTAGAAGTCATTACGTCTGGTGAAAAAGACATCTTTGAGCTTAGAGAATGCAATGCACAGAGGGTGACAAACGTGCCTTTGAGAGAATTTTCAGAAGAGGTGTGCAGATGAAGAAGCAGAGTGATGAGAAGAAGGAGTGTGGGTGTGGGAGTTAGACCTGGGTGTACATTCTGGCCCCAACCTTAATGTGCCCTTGAGCAAGCCTCATGACATCTCTGGGCCTCATTTCCCTCCTTTGTAAAATAGAGATAATAATGACAATAATGATTGTTGTGGAAATGCAATGGATGAAACATGCCCAGCACCTGGGCTAGGTAGTTAATAGTTGCCAGCCTGATAATGCTAGTGCTGGGGAGTTAGAGGATTTTAGGAAGTAATGGGTAGAAAAAGAGAGGAAAAAGCAAGGGTAGAAGAACTTAAGAAGGTTTGATGGAACACACGTGTTATAGGCTGAATTGTGTCCCCTAAGAAAGGTATGTTGAAGTACTGATCCCCAGTACCTCAGAATGTGACCTTATTTAGAAACAGGTTGTTGCAGATATAATTGGTTAGATGAAGTTGTAATGGAATAGGATGGACCCTTAACCTAGTATGACTGGTGTCATAGAAACAGGAGGAGAGACACCAAAACCCGAGGGGAGGACGTCATGGAATGACAGAGGCAGAAATTGGAGTAGTGCCACTGCTAGCCAAAGAACGCCATAGGTGGCTGGTACCCCCAGAAACTAGGAAGGGGCAAGGAGGGAGACCCCTGCAGGTTTCAGGGGGAGGATGACTGTTTGTTTTGGACTTCCAGCCTGCAGAACAGTAAGACAATAAATCTCTTGTTTTCAGCCACCTGGTTTGTGGTATTTTGTCATGGCAGCCCTGGGAAACGATGACAGCACAGAAAGGCAAAACATGGAAAGGGCAGGGATCATTTTCCAAATCTCATTGAAAACCTGAGGCCTGTGAGGAAGATTCCCAGACCCGCTTTTAGCCTTTATTGCTCTTAATCCCAACCCCGATCATTTGTAGCTCTGTTAGTAAATGTCTTTTCTCCCCCAGGGCATAGTTACCTGGAACATAGCAAATTTGGATCCTATGTTCTGCTCACCCAGGTGCAGCTTGGCTTGACGGAAAAGGATTCCCAGGGCCCAGAGAGCCAACAGTGTGGACACACCGAGGAAAGTGTTGATCCATAAAGCTGGGCTCGTCTCAGAAATCTGGTGGCAGATCAGAGAGTAGTTGGTGAGGCAGGCCTGGCCCTCTCTGCTCCTTTTATTTCTCCTCTCCCATGGTAGGAAAGGTAATGTTTTAAAAACCCCAGAGCCTTGGCCTATACCAGTTTTTCCTCTCCCCATTGGAGTCCCTGAGCCTCTACTTTTCCACAGCCATCCATCCCTAGGGCCCTGTGTCCAGCGATATTGACTCCAGCTATTCCTTTTAGAGCTCCCAGATACTAAATGAGTCTGGGACTTTGCTGCCCCTTACTCCTGGCTTACATCTGCTGGATCATAGATGCCATCGGGGATGAGGAACAGGCCCACCAGGACCAGCATCATCTTGAAGAAGGCATATTGGAACGGGCCTAACATCAGCAGCTTCAGCTTCTTCCTGAGGGGGGAAGAGAGTTAGGAACATGGACCCACAAACCATCCACCACACGAAGACCTCTTGGCTCCCTCACTGGGCTCCTGGGCTGGGGCTCAGCGGTCACCATTGACACCATAATGACTAAGTGGATGCGGACACAGGAAGAAGCTGGAATATTGAGAGAATTGAGAGTCTTCACCTCCCACTCACCTCCAGACCACAACCTCACCAGAAGGGGCAATTAAAAGGTCTGAAGTCCAGTTTTCTCTGTGTGACTAAAGCGTTCAGGGGACAGTGAACTTAAGTGATGGGAACTTCGGAGCTCACCCTCCTCCACGCCCCTCTCCCCTGGAGTCGGCATCCATCTGTGAGACCTGGCTGTGGGATGTCCATCCTTTCATCGTTGACTTTGTCCCATTCAAGCCTAATTTCCAGTGCCTTGAAGCGGGGCTAGAAAGCCAGGAGAGGCTCTTGGGAGAGTGCTCTTCCAGGATGCTCCTTCCTCTCGCCTTACCTGGTGAGCATGAGCTGAGGGCAGCAGAGACAGCAGCAGCAACAGGGGCCTGTGTGGACGATCATCGGGGTGTCCTTCAGTGTCCTCACGACTGCCTGCTCTCCGCCAAAGCCTTCCACCATGACCAGCATCAGCAGGTAAAAGCATATGGCATAAAACCTGGTGTGGGGAGAGAAGCAGGACTGGAGTAGATGGTGGAGGTGCCCGCTGAGGTGATACCCCTTTGCTGCCCGAGGAAAGACTACAGGGTGGGGTGGGCTTCCTGAGGGTAAGACAGTAGGGACCGAGCATTCTGGGTGTATGACCCAAGAGGAGCAAGAGAAAGGACGGGGGCCTGAGAACCAGGAAGAGGGGATTTTCAGGCTGTGGAAGCGAAGAGGTGACTCAGGAACGTGCCAAAATAAGGCATTCCCTGAACAGAACCAGAAGATGAAGCGCCCCGGATTAGCACAAACTGGGAAGGGCTAGACTCATGATCACCTGGGATTAAAGGCATGGATTCCAGCTTCCTGGTGAGTGGGAGCAGAAGGGGACCCTGGAGGGATACCCAGCCCAGAGGTGGGGGTGGGGCAGGACACTCACGAGGTTATGGCCATTTCCACGAGCATGAGGGAACGAGGGATCCAGAGCCCAAAGCAGCAGAACACAGACACTACCTGCTTGGAGAGAAGCAAGAAGCAGGCTGGGGGAGGAGGCTGCTCCAACCTTCTGTAGCAAGGGCTCAAGGACTCAGGGGAAATGCATTTGAAGCACCATTCCTAAAAAATTGCCACTGGAAAAATAACTAATTAAATCAAGCACACCAAGGAGCCCTATAATGGCTGTGGGAGTGAGCTTAAAAAGCCTACTGCATAAGGGAAGAGCTGAATGTGACCCTGAGGGAGGGGAGGGAAAGCTTTACCCCTATATTCTGAGAACCACTGCCTGCCTACAGGAAAGAGGCCTGATATTTTTTTCTTTTTTTCTTTTTTTTTTTTTTTTGAGTTGGGGTCTCATTCTGTTGCCTGGAGTGTAGTTGCACCATCATGGCTATTGCAGCCTCAGCTTCCTGGGCTCAGGCAATCCTTCCGCCTCAGCCTCCTGAGTAGCTGGGATGACAGGCACTCACCACTTCACCCAGTTAATTTTTTTATTTTTTTTTAAAGACGAGGTTTCGCTATGTTGCCCAGGCTGGTCTTGAACTCCTGGGTTCAAGCAAGGAGCTCCTGGCCTCGGCTTCCCAAAGTTCTCAGATAGGATTATGAGCCACCGTGCTCAGCGGAGGCCTGCTTTTAACAGCAACGTTGGGAGCGAGCAGAATAGTGAGTGGAGGCACTGGTGGGCCAAGTAGGTGCTCCAGCTGCCTCTGCAGCCCTTAGAGTTTAAACACTATCCCGCTGCCTGTTGACCTGGCAAGCACGGGGTCCTAATTGCAAGCGGAGGTCAGATTTCAGACTCCCACCCTCAGATGGCAGTGGCAACTCTTGGCTGACACGAACTGCTGTCTTGGCTGACACGAACTGCAACTCTTGGCTGACACGAACTGCTGAGTTTAGAGGAATTCTCAAAATGGTCCCTGCCTCCTTTCCAGTTCCTCCCCAGGATCCTCACCGTGGGTGCAGAACTACTCCAGAGCAGAGTTCTCCTCTTGATGGGGCAAAGGGTATTCTTGTACAGGTAGACAGCATCCTCCAGGAAGATGGCGATTGATCCCAGGGCAAACAGGGTCATGATGCTGGTGAGGGCGATTTCCACAGGGCCTAGGGCTAGAGGAGAAAGAGAAAGCTGTGAGGGGGAAAGAGGGGTTTTCTTGTTTGGATCTGAACTGTCTTACCAGATCTAGGCTCCCACCCATGCAGAAGAATGACAATTTTTTAGACCTAGAGTATCCAACATGTGACTAGGAAATGGTCATTCTAGGCCGGGGCTCGGTGGCTCAGCCTGTAATCCCACGCTTTGGGAGGCCGAGGTCAGTGGATTGCCTGAGGCTGCGGGTTCGAGACCTGCCTGGGCAACTTGGCAAGACCTCATCTCTACAATATATCAAAAAAATTAGCCAGGTGTGGTAGCGCATGCCTGTAGTTCCAGCTACTTGGAAGGCTGAGGTGGAAGGATTGCCGGAGCCCAGCAGGTCAAGGCTGCAGTGGCTGTGAGCATGCCACCGCACTCCAGTCTGGGCCACAGAGTAAGACTCTGACTCAACAAAGAAAAAAGAAAAAGAAATAGTCGTTCTTGCGCATGCGTGAATGGGAGCCTAGCTAGATGATTCCAGGTATGGGTAAAGTCTACCTAGACCAGGGTGTAGATACCAAATGAGTTTTTACATAACTAGCAAAATTCTTAAAAGAAGAGGTTGGCAGGGCCTGGACTATTCACTTTTTTACCTCCAGTCCAGATGTTGTGCTAGCAGACACGGATCAATTGATGTTATAATCGAAGGAGAATGTAACTAATGGTGTACTCGAGCTGTTTAAGTTTGATTTCACCAAAATCATGTCATGGAACCAGGACATCAGGAAAGGACTTTAACAAAAGAGAAATGGCCGGGCTTGGTGGCTCAGCCTGTAATCGCGCGCCTTTGGGAGGCTGAGGTGAGTGGATTGCCTGAGCCCATGGGTTCGAGACCTGCTTGGGCAGGCGAGACCTCATCTCTACAATAAATCAAAAAATCAGCCGGGCGTGGTAGCATGCGCCTGTAGTTCCAGCTACATGGAAGGCTGAGGTGGAAGGATCGCCGGAGCCAGCAGGTCGAGGCTGCGGTGGCCGGGAGTGGCCGCTGCACTCCAGTCTGGGCGACAGAGTGAGACTCCAACTCAAAAAAAAAAAAAAGAGAAATGGATACCAATAAAGACTCCAAGGACTCACATAGGCCTCCCACCTGGTCCCACATTCCATGTAGTCTAGCAGTTCTCACACTGGAGTGTATATTGCAATCATTTGGGGAGTTGTATCAAGCAGCTGTCTAGGTCCTACTGTCAGACGTGTGCTTCAGTAGATCTGGGATGGGTCCCACCATATGCATTTTTAACAAGCTCACTTGATAATGGTCAGAGGATAATAAACACTTTGACAAACACCAGGGAACCTCATCTGGCCTTGCTATTGCTAAAAGAAAAAAATTAATATAGTTACAATATGTGTTTCTATACACATGATTCATTAATGCAACAATTAGTTTTATTTATTTATTATTATTATTTTTGAGTCGGGATCACACTCTGTCACCCAGGTTGGAGTGCAGTGGCACAAACATGGTTCACCGCTGCCTCGACCTCCTGGGCTCAGGCAATCCTTCCATCTCAGCCTCTCAAGTAGTTGGGACTACAGACATTGTGGCACCATGCCCAGGTTTTTTTGTTTGTTTGTTCGTTTGTCGAGATAAGGTCTTGCTGTGTTGCCCAGGTCAGTCTCAAGTTCCTGGCCTCAAGTAATCCTCCCACCTTGGCCTCTCAAAGTGCTGGGATTACAGGTGTGAGCCATCACCCCAGGCCCTAACAATTAGTTTTAAGCAAAACATTCTGGATCCTTAGTGACTAAGTCCCTGGAATCATGTATCTACGTCTCTTCTCTCGTTATTGGACTCTCCTTTGCATCTACTAGATGAGAGGAAGAAAGGGGGAGAGGAGGTCTGTCAGAGTCTGTCCACTGTCCCATTACCTTGGGGGTAAGTATGAGGAAGGCATTGGCTAGCCTGCCCTGTGTTTTGGTGGCCCAGGAACATGAGGGCAGCTCAGAGAGATAATACGGCTGACACCAAAACAGGGAAAAAGGAGACTAGACAAAGGTTGTTGCCGGGGTCAGTCAGACTTGGTGGCACTACAAGGACCGATCAGGACAAAGGCAAATCTGCCAAAACATATCATGTCGATCTGGTTGTCTTATTTCGGGGCATACGGGTTTCTCTCTGTTTCTGTCTGCTGTATCTGAGGGAGGTCCTTTATCTTTGGCCACAGTGAGGTCTACTGACCAGTTCAACAGACCCAACAGGTGGCCCCTGGATTCCAGCTCCCAGGTTGGACTTCTGAAGTCAGTGGGAAGCCTTCCCTATTGACTACCACAGGCCACAAAAGACAGGCCCATGTGGCTTTTCTTTTCCCCAAACCATTCCGTCCTCTTTTCACTTTTCTGTATTTTTGTGTTCACTTTACTATTAATAAACCTGAATTCTTTTTTGTAATAGAAATGCTACCGGCTCAGCTGGTAATCCAGCACTTTGGGAGGCCGAGGCCAGTGGATTGCCTGAGCCCGCGGGTTCGAGACCAGCCCGGGCAACTTGGTGAGACCTCGTCTCTACAATAAATCAAAAATGAGCTGGGTATGGTAGCACTCGCTCGTAGTTCCGGCTACCTGGAAGGCTGAGGCAGAAGGATCGCCGGAGCCCAGCAGGTTGACGCTGGGGTGGCCGTGTGTGTTTAAAAAAATACAGACAAAAAGCAGTCCAGATAGGAAAACTCCAAGATTAACTCAAGGTTTCCAAAACCAGTGTTTGTGGTTGGGAAAGGATGTCACTGCTGGAGGCCTTTCTCACCTCCCACCCCGCCCTGAGTGTCCTCATTAAGAGCAGAAACTGCCCTTTCATAAGCCGTGAGGTCAAAGCCTTCCCAGTTCCTTTCCTTGACCTCTTCCTCCTCCTTGAAATCTCCCTTCCCTTGACTCCCAGAACCACATTCCCCAGGTTCTTTTCCTGGCCTCTGAACTCTCGGTCTGTCTCTTTCACTGAGTCCACATCCTCTCCACATCCCACGTTCTCCAGACTCCATCACTGCAGCTCAGCTCTTCTCTGTTTGCTAGACTTGGGATTTCCTTACCACTCCTTCATCCTCCCAGCACCCCCGAAGCCAGGGGTCCCAAACCCCTGCCATGGACTAAAGCTGATCCGATCCGTGGCCTGTTAGGAACCCTGCACAGCAGGATGTGAGCAGCAGACTCTGTTTTTCTGTCAGATCAATTGCGGCATTAGATTCTCATGGGAGCCCAAACCCTACTGTGAACTGAGCTCGTGAGGCATCTAGGTTGCGTGCTCCTTGTGAGAATCAAATGCCTGATGATCCCCTACCTCGGCTTCATGGAAAAATTGTCTTTCCTGAAACTGGTCCCTGCTGCTAAAAAGGCTGGAGACTGTTCGCTGCCCGTAGCTGTTCCCACAAGGATTTGACCCTTGTCCTCTGCCTGTTAGGCTGTTCCCCCGGAGCTCCACATGGCTGGCCCCCCAGGACCCCTCACTGGGCTCTCAGTTTAGTCAGCCTTCCCTGGCTGCCCTGAATGATGTTGCCTCCTTTGCCTGCCCAGCAGGGATATTCACATAGCTGTTTACTTCATTATTGTGCACCTGACCGTAGTGTAAGCTCCGAGAAGGCAGGGACTTTGTCAGGCTCGTTCTCTGTTCTCTCCAAGTGCCTAGAACAGTAACTGCTCTGTAACTTTCTGGAATGAAAGAAATAACTCCATGAGAATTCCTATGATCATCGACTTTGTGGCGTTGTCAGAAAATTAGGCCCAAGGTCTCACAGCTTGGGAGCTGGGATGCAAACCTGGGGAGTCCCGACACTAAGCCCACACTCTCACTGTCACACGCCCTGACTCCTGGTGTGTGTTCACACAGATATGGGAGGAGCAACCAAATGCAACCCCCAAAGGTTCTTTTTAAGTTTATAAAGGTGAGGATGGGGCCTATTCTACCTGTTCAACCCAGAATTGCTTTTGCGGTTTCTTGTAGCTGCTGCCTTTGGCTCTCCAGTTTGGTTTGTCTACTTGCAGTAGTTACATTAGATCTCCCTCCCATAGTGCGAGAGCTAAGCCAAGAAGAGAAACGACCCTTAGCTTCCACAGCCTGAATCCGGAGTTCTTTGTCAAACTCATTTATTCTCTTAGAAGACTACCCCCTCCCTTACTTTCCTGATCTGACTCAGTTTTCCCCAAAGTGCATTAATAGATATAGGGATAAATGTATCCTATGACTAAAGGATTTTCAGAAATGCATTAAGCAAAGTCAATCACGTTTCTTTCCTGTGGCGCATAGCGAAAATTTTAATCTGCCAATTTACGTTGTTAATTTCCAAAAAGAAGGTATAGAACCCAGTTTTTTGTTTTGTTTTGTTTTGTTTTGTTTTTCGAGTTGGAGTCTCACTCAGTTGCTCAGACTGGAGTGCAGTGGCTGCTCCCGGCTACCGCAGCCTCAACCTGCTGGCCTCTGATGATCCTTCCGCTCAGCCTTGCAAGTAGCTGGAACTACAGGTGCGCACAACCACTCCTGGCTAATTTTTTGATTTATTGTAGAGATGAGGTCTCGCTAAGTTGCCCAGGTGGGTCTCGAATTCACGGGCTCAGGCAATTCACTCACCTTGGCCTCCCAAAGTGCAGAATTACAGGCTGAGCCACTGAGCCCGGCCAGAACCCAGCTTTTATAAAATTTAATGTTCTACAGAACACTTTTTTAAAAAATCAGAAATAGCTTTATGTCTTTATGTATTTATTTATTTTTTTGGTTGGAGTCTCACTCTGTTGCCCAGGCTGGAGTGTAGTGGCATGCTCACAGCCACCGCAGCCTCAGTCTTCTGGGCTCAGGTGATCCTTCTGCTTCAGCCTTCCAAAAAGCTGGAACTACAGGTACATGCCACCATACCTGGCTAGTTTTCTGATTTATTGTAGAGATGAGGTCTCGCCAAGTTGCCCAGGCTGGTCTCAAACCTGTGGGCTCAGGCAATCCTCTCACTTCAGCCTCCTGCAGTGGTATTTATTCATTTATTGAATGAAAGACTCACTCTTTCGCCCAGGCTAGAATGCAGAGGCATGATCACGGCTCACCGCAGCCTTGACCTCCAGGGCTCAGGCAATCCTTCTGCCTCAGCATCCTGAGTAACTGGGACTATTGACATGTACCACCACACCTGGCTAAGTTTTTGATTTTCTGTAGAGACAAGGTCTCCCTATGTTGCTCATGCTGTGCTTTGCATTTTTAAAAAATCGATATTAACGGCATCATCCTGAAAAATGCTTTTTCCATCCAAAATTATTTTCATGATTTGTACTATTTTCATTATGATGAACAAATGTTGCAGTAGCATTTTTGGATGTGTCTTTTTGGCACATAGAAGAGAATTTCTCTAAGGCGTGTACCTAGATTTAGAGTTACTGGGTTGTAGGAGATGACAGTTTTCAGTTCCACAGATATTATCTAATTACTCTCCAAAGTGGTTACTGCAATTTATGCCCTTAGCGCCAGTCTATGAGGGTTCCCATTGCATTGCAAATTCACCAACACTTGATATCATCAGACTTTTAATTTTTGCCAATGTGATAATGATAAAATGACATTTTGTTGCTTAATTTACAGCTCCCTGATTACCAGCAAAGGTGAACATCTTCTTGCACATTTATTGGCCATTTGGGTTTCCTCTTCTATGAATTGTCTGTTCATATATTTTATCCAATTTCTATTGGTTAATTTTTCTTATACTGACTATTAATCCTTTGTTAGTTAGAGGTATGAAAATACCTACTCCTGGTCTGTGCTTTGGCTTTTAACGGTGTTTACAGTGTCTTTTAGTTGTAGAGAAGTTTCTTTGCTTTTAGTCGTCAGTCTCCGGGGTCATTTGTGCTTTCTTGTGTTTTAAGAAATTGTTCTGTATTCCAGTCATAAACATAACATTCTGTATTTTCTTTTGTAAAAATGTTTGCATCTTACATAATTTATGTATTTAGCCTATCTGGATTAATGCTACTTTGGGGCTAATTTCACATGTACTTCTTTGCCACAGGGATGGCAGTTGTCCAGCCCCACTCCTTGAAGAGTCACCCTGCCTTCGATGCATATGGTATCCATTCAGGCAGCCAGCCCCCATGTAGGCACAGCTCCATTTTCTGGACACGATTCTGCCCTGGTATTCTACTCATTATGTTCCTTGCTTTAGACACCACAGCCTTATTACAAGCCTTACTGTCCAGCAGGGCAGCTTTCCCCTTACACTTTTTCAAAAGTATCTTGGCTTTTCTTGGCTCTTCCATTATAAGTGTTTGATTCAGTCCATTTAAAAAGATCTTGGAGGGATGATCACTTCAATTGCATCACAGGCTTTTCAAAAAATGGAAAGATTCAAGAGTTCTTCCAGAACAGCTCTTTCTTAACATTCGATCAAGAGAAGAGCAGAGCTCACAGATGAGGCGGGGAAGGAGTTCCACCACATCCTCCCATGGCCACCTCTTCCTGGTTCCCCTATTTCTCTCTGAGCCATCACCATCGCCCAGAACCAGCGCTTACCACTTCTGGCTCTTTACCAGCTAGCCTGTGCTTTCTCCACATTGTCTGTTTTCCAGCCCTCTCCCTCCCTTGCCACTGCCTTGGCTCTCTTCCCACACTGGACGGGGCAATAACCCCTAATTTCTATCTCTGCCTCCCGCGGCTCTTCCCTGGCAGTCTGACCTGATTACTAATTAATGGTCCCGTAGCCCTGCTTTTCCTCCGGCCCCTCCCGATGTCAGAGCCCTCTCTATGGGATAAAGTACAGCTCCTCGGGTGGCGTGTGTCAGGCCCCACCTAACCTGCCCAGCCCTCTTCACTGTCCCCTGCTCCGCTGCCCATAACTTTGAATCCTGCCAGACCCAGGGTCTGAGGGACCCGGCGGCTCGTCCTCTCACCCTGCCCACCCCAGGAGGGCCCACTGCCTGCTCCCCACTCGACTCCCAGACCCAGAACCGTCTTCCTAACCCAAACCTTGGAGTATCCTGAGGTTTCTATTTACGCATTTTGTGGCAAAGCAATGTGAAGGCCATTTTCATTGCATAAGGTGAGGTGTGTCAACCAAGCACAAATGACGCTCTGGCCCAAACAATTCTTTGTTGTGAGGAATGGTCCGGCATTGGAAAAAATGAAGCAGCTTCCCTGACCTCTACCCACTGGATGCTAGCGGCACTCTGCAGTGTGGCAACTGAAACCTTATCTCCAGACATTGCCAAATGCTGCATGGGCTGAGAACCACAGCTGTAAGGGAAGGCATGTCCCACCAGCTGCACCCTCAGATTGGGAGGTTCCTGGAGCTGGATGGAGCAGCCAGCTCCTGGCACTGATCACAGTGCCGCCACCAGCATCTCCAGACACTCCGGCAGTCTCTCTGGTGCAGAGCATCAGAGTGCACCAAGTGACAGCCCAGGGACATGCCCAGGTTTGCCTCTTAGTGCACACTGACAGCATCCTGTTGCTCAGAAATGGTTCACTCCATGAGGAAAGTCTTTCTGCAGGAGGGAGTCTGGGGAAAAGCATTGAGTGTACTATAGAGACATAGACTTCTCTTCAGCATCTCAGAGGAAGTCAAGCATGCAGACAAATAAAATGCAGACGGGAGCCACATTTTCTCTAAAGATGCTAGGGAAATTATTGTTTTTGGAGTTGGGTCTCACTTTGTCACCCAGGCTGGAGTGCAGTGGCTTGACCATGGCTCACTGCAGCCTCGACCTCCTGGGCTCAGGCAATCTTTCTGCCTCAACCTCCTGAGTAGCTGGGACTACAGGTATGTACCACTACTCCTGGCTAATTTAAAAAAAATTTTTTGTAAAGACAAGGTCTCACCATGTTGCCTAGGTTGGTCTTGAATTCCTGGGCTCAAGCAATCCTCTTACCTCCGCTCCCAAAGTGTTGGGATTACAGGCATAAACCTTTGCATCTGGCTGCTAGGACCATTTGATTCTCAATGTTTTTGGTGTCCAGGAAATAAGCTAAGTACCATCCTACACTTTTCACTTTTCTCTTTTTATATTTTTATTTTTTTGTAGAGACAAGAGTCTTCCATGGTGCTTAGGCTAGCCTCAAACTCCTGGGCTCCCATGATCCTCCTGCCTTGGCCTCCTGAGTAGCTGGGATTATAGGTGCAAGCACTGCCCCAGTGGCCTTTCACTTTCAAAAGCAATTCAGTAATAAGATCCTGTTGGCTAACACTGTGAGAACACTTTTATACAGTCACCAAAGTTTTAAGCACGTCACTCACAGTAACTATCTCTCTGAGATTATATAGGCCCATTCCCAAGGAAGGTGTCATGCAGGCCTCCAGGAGATCCTATGGGACTTGGATCATTTAGGCATCATCTTGAGTCCCTAGATAGCCCCGGGGTCTGAAATAAATGCCCCAGGTCACAGTGTCCCCAGTTTGAATGAACTTTGAGACTGGGATTTGTGGAGGACCAACTATCCTAGGCCATCATGCTCCCCTTTGGGCCCACTGACTCCTTGAATTGCTTTTCTCCAAGCCCTTAACCACAATGGATGCCAGGCTAGGTATCCCACAGGCTGCCTAGGTATCCTCCCAGGCTGTCCAGGTGTCCTCCCAGACTGATCAGGTAACTTTTCAGGCTGCCCAGGTATACCCTCAGGCTGTCCAGGTATCCTTTCAGGTATCCCCCGGGCTGTCCAGGTATCCTCCTAGGCTGTCCAGGTATCCTTCCAGGCTGTCCAGTTATCCTTTCAGGTATCCCCCAGGCTGACCAGGTATCCTTCCAGGCTGTCCAGGTGTTCTCCCTGGCTGCCTAGGTATCCTCCCAGATATCCCTCAGACTTCCCAGGGTATCCTCCCAGATATCCCTCAGGCTGTCCAAGTATCCTCCAAGGCTACCCAGATATTCTCCCCAGATGCCCAGGTATCCTCCCAGGTATCCCCTAGGCTGTCCAGGTATCCTCTCAGGCTGTCCAGATGTCCTCCCAGCCTATCCAGGTTGCCCAGTTCCTGTCTTCCCGCTGAGGTGTGCATCTCCTCCTTTCAGGCCCTCTGTGCGGGTCCCCTACTCACCTCTCAGGAGTTGGGCTGCCGTGGGGGGATGGGAGAAGCAGACAGAGGGGATGCTGTGATTGGTCTTTAGCACCTCCAGAAGATCTGTCGTGTACCTGGAGAGACACCTGCCTGTGTTCAGAACCATGGGGGCTGCGGCGAGGGGGTAGAGGGATGACACATTGGACCCTAGTTCCTCGATACTTCCTCAAACACCCCTGGGTGCAGGGGTCCTGTCTGGTTCCTTCGGGACCCCTTTCTTAGAAGGAGCGGAGAACTGACCCAGGCTAGTGTGTAAGGCAGCTGCCACCTAGCCAGGAGCAGGTCTGGCTGCAGGGCCCCAAGAACCCACAGTCGATTCTCTTTATTCTCAGTGTGGCAGCAGCCCAGGGGCCGACCAGAGAGAAGGAGCAGGGTCCCAGAGAAAGAGCGGGCCTTAGCAGAGGGATAAGTGCCCTGGTGGCCAGGGCTCTAGGTGTTACCTCTGGGAATGTCTTTCACAACCCCCACCTCCGGGATCCCTCTCTCCCCAGGTTGGGGTCAAAGCCAAGGCCCTGAAGTGTCACACACTGACCCGAACCCACACTGTCCCTGAGGACCTAGGGAACAGCCAGACTGTTTTTGGTCCTGTCTCATTCTGAGTGCCGGGAGTCAAAGGGCTCTTCAAGGGAGATAGGGACAGGCCAGAGCGATAGGGGCCACTGTTGCTTAGCAACGGGCACAGGGCTGGCCACCCTCACTTACCTGGGGTCAAGCTTTATCTGAGTCCTGTCTGGCTCCATCGCCTCCTTTCTCTCCAGCAATCCCAGCAGGCACTGAGCGGGGAGGAGGGGCAGGCAGGGTGGGTAAGGCAGGCAGGTGAGGGCACTAAGGGGGCAGCTCCTGCCTGGCACTGCTGTCTGCTGGCCCTTCCCAGAGGACAGGGGCTGAGGGCAGATGGAGGGGCAGGGTCTTCCCCTCGGGTTCGCTCCCTCCTCAGGCCTCCTGGGCCAACTTTCTATCTCAGAGTTCACCCTGGAGGAATTTGATCCTGTTGCCTGGCCTGGCCAAGCTCCCTGGCTCCTGACTCCTCCCTGCTTCTAGGTGTGGTCCCTCCTACCTCTCTTGGATAAATATCTTTGCCCACCCTTTGTCCCTGGCCCGCCTCGTTCATTACTCCCTGTTAAGGATCCTTCTCAGGCAGGCTGGGCTCACCACAAAACTCCTCCTGCCAGGGCTGGGGTGGGGACGAAGTCCTCATTCCTCACTGAAATGTCCCTGGTTGACAAACCCTAGGGAACCTTGCTGGAACTCAGGCCCTGACACCCTGGGAATGAGAGACAGGGCGAAGGCCTCAGCTGTGCCTGGTGCTGTTGGCCTGGCATGAGGACGGGAGGACTGACTGGAAAAGTGAGATGAGGCCCAAGTGGATTTGATGATGGGTTTGCAGAGGCTGCGTTGAAAAGACAGAGCAGCAGGGCGAGATTTCCGGGTACTTGGCAGGCTTTGAAAAACTGCCAAAGTGGTCAGGTGTGATGGCTCACGCCTATAATCCCAGCACTTTGGGAGGCTGAGCTGAGAGGATTGTCCGAGCCCATGGGTTCGAGACTACCTGGGCAACTTGGTGAGACATCATCTCTACAATAAATAAATTTTAAAAATTAGCCAGGTATGGTGGTGTGTGCCTGTAGTTCCTGCTACTTGGAAGGCTGAGGCGGAAGGATCGCCTGAGCCCAGCAGGTCGAGGCTGCAGTGGCTGTGAGTATGCCACTGCACTCCAGTCTGGGCAACAGAGTGAGACTCCAACTCAAAAAAGAGAAAAACTGCCAGAGTATATACTTACAAACTGTTTTATTGGTTAGTGGTCTCTCTTCTCTCTCTCCAAATAGATTTAAACCCCTTCAAGGTCAGACACAGAGTCTTATAGTACAGTACCCCGGGTTCCTGGAACAGAGCTTGACACTTACTAAAACGCCTTCGAATCTGGTTGCATAACTGATAAAATAACAAAATCCGAGCAATAGCAGCAGCAGCAAATGTCTATTAGCATGCCTTGTGTGCCAGGTGCTGCAGGAAATACAGTACATTGCTTTTCTCATTTAAACCTTACACCACTCCTGTAAGGGAAATACTATCCTTACTCTCTCATTTTACAGATTAGGAAACTGAGGTCCAGAGACGTTAAGAAACCAGGGAAGTTAAAGAGCCATGGGAGTGTGTAGAAGGCAGAAGGGACCTGGGGAAGGGGCTCTATTGCAGTTTGGTGAAATTTTTATTTTTATTTATTTGTTTATTTGAGTCAGGGTCTCACTGTGCCACTCAGGCTAGAGTGCAGTGGCACAATCACAGCTTACCACAGCCTCAACCTCCTGGGCTCAAGCAATCCTTTCACCTCAGCCTCCTGAATTGTTGGGACTACAAGCGTGCACCACCACCCAGCTAACTTTCGGATTTTTTGTAAAGATGAGGTCTTGCTATGTTGCCCAGACTGAAGAACTCCTGGCCTCAAGCAATCCTCCCACCATGGTCTTCCAAAGTGCTGAGATTACAGGTGTGAGCCACTTCACCCAGCTCAGTGAAGAAAGATAGTGAGTAAAGGGTCCAGCAGAGGATCCAGGGAGTCCATTCTGGGAAGGCAGAGGGGACTCCCTGCTCTGGGCTGGTGAGTAGACACAAGCAGAGAAAACAATTACTGATGTGGTACCAGGACTCCCCAGTTCTGTCCCAAAACACCTGAAAGTCTCCCCCAAGGGACAACAGAGACCTCCCCCAGTTTTTCCCTCCCTCTAAAGGACAATTCTTGGGACAGCCCACGTAGGTCTCCAGGAGTCTCAGTGGCGCTCCTCCCTCTTAAGATGCAGGTAAGGAAAGGAAAAGGAAGGCAAGGACACTGACCCCCAGAGGGTCAGTGGCCTCAGCCTCACCCTGACAAACCATTTCCACAGGAACATTCCCTGGGTCATTCATCCCTAGCCCGCTGAGAGGCCTTGAGCCTAATTGCCCAAAGCCCTGAACTTTAGACTTCCAGGAACAGATTACAGGTTGCTGAGGATGTTCCCTGGAACGTCTTCAGGTGGTGGGGTGTTGGGGAAGAGGCAGGAGAGAGTGGAAAGGGGACAGTGGCTGGGCTGAGCCCTGGTGCTTCCTCGGCTGGGCAGCAGAGGCTGGGAGACCCCAGGGAAGGCTGGACGCTCCTCAGGACGGGCGCCCACTGGGGAGGAGGAAAGACTGAGTGTCGGGGAGAGGGAGGGCTTGAGCTCTGATGGGTTCTTCTGCCCTAGCCAAAGTCCCTGAGTGGCTCTCTTGTATATAATGTGACCCAAGGATTAGACCAGGGGAGGTTCTGACTCGAGGCCAACCCATCCATGGTGAAGACCAGAGAGAGAAAAGGAGCCGGACCAACCAATCAGTCTCCCCTTGGCAACTGTGAGCTGTCAAATACTGATTTGTAGAACCAAGAAGGGTGAATCCTTCATTTCACATTTTGGTCTAATTTTTTCCGACAAAATTAAATGATAACATAATATGATACCTACGACTTCAGGTTTGGCTTTCTCAGTATAAGAGTCATTATTTTTTTTCTTAGGGTCTCACTCTGTCGCCCAGGCTGGAGTGCAGTGGCACAATCACAACTCACCACAACCTCAACCTCCCAGACTCAGGTGAGCGTCCTGCCTTGACAAGCTTTCGAACTCCTGGGCTCAAGCAGTCCTCCTGCCTTCGCCCCCCAAAGTGCTGGGATTACAGACATGAGCCACCAGCACCCAAACATCACTTCCGAAAACTCAAAAAAATCACTTTAGCCGGGCTCGGTGGCTCAGCCTGTAATCCCAGCGCTTTGGGAGGCTGAGGTGAGTGGAATGCCTGAGCCTGAGGGTTCGAGACCTGCTCAGGCAACTTGGCGAGACCTCATCTCTACAATAAATCAAAAATCAACCGGGCATGGTAGCACGTGCCTGTAGTTCCAGCTACT